TTTAGCTTTTCCTTTTTGCTTTACAACTTTAAGGTATGTTATTTAAGCAAAAACCATGAGATATACCGATTGAACTTTGCATGAAACCAGACAGGACCAGCCTTTCCTACAGATAAGGAATATTTCACTTACATAGCATTCTTCATTTTGTTTCCTGCTCCTAGTCTGGTTGCTTAGAGGCAGGACAATGTGCTCTTAAGTTATGTGTCATACCAAGTAGAGTATGTGCCATGTACAAAATTTCTGGGTAGACTGCGGAGAAAATTGATGATATTGTCTAGGATAATCGCAGTGAGAGACTGTTCTAGCACATTCTGTACCTTTGGAGTTACAGCCACATGAACATAATCTAATACTCAAAACTTCAGTTTTTCTTTTCTTTTTTTGAGGGGTGGGTATCCTTTCCATTTTGAGACAAAGTTTCTCCATATAGCCCCTACTGTCCTTGAACCCAGACCTGCCTGCCTCTGCCTCCTGAGTGCTGGGTTTAAAGGTATATGCCACCACAGGCTTGATGGTCTGTTTTATGGGGCCCCATAATTTCCAACCCACAGTGCAAGACAGCATCTAAACAAGTCATACATTGCTTAGTAATGGGGTCACAACCTCAGATGTATCCTTGAGATGTTTGTGTGCATCATACACAAAAGCAGATGCCATCTACTACACCCCGAGATGCTGCAACAGACTGCTGCAGCCTCTCCACACACCTGTCACTGTGCTGATCCTGTAGGCAACTGTCGACACAGCAGCCGTGTGTCAAGCATTGAAAAGGCATGGGGAGAACACCCGACAGTTCGAGAACTTCCCAGTGCTGGGGCTGGGGGCGGGGGGTGTTCCACCGTACAGTGCTTGCTGTCTGTGTATGCACAGGATCGCAGGCTTGAGCTCCAGGACCCACCTAAAAAGCTGGACACAGTGACATGTCTTCAGAACCTCAGAGCCAAGCAGGCAGAAATGGGTGGATCTAAGGGGCTCACTAGCCACCAACTTAGTGAGCTCCGGGCCAGTGAGTGAGGCCACAAAAAAGCAGATGGTTCCTGAGGAATAACACCCAGTAGACATCTGGACAGACATACATTTTTAGTCCATTTATAATCTTCAGGACCTTCAGATGTGGCCCATCTTTGACGGAAACATCCTCATGTGGTTGTGGAATGGCCATTTCCCACAAGTTGAAATGGTTGCTTCTAGAAGGTGCTGGCTGGGCTTCTCACGGGAGGGGTGGCGAGACGGCTCAGTGGGTGAGGGCACTTGCTGCTAACCCTGAGTTTGATCCCACATGGGGATGGAATCTCAAGTTGTCCTCTAGCCCCATGCAGGTGCTGTGGCATGCGCCCATCCACCCAAAGTAAGTCCATGCAGCTTTTAAAGGAATCTTTCAAGACCCCGTTCAGTTCAAGAACCAAGAATCATAGTCCCTTTCCCCAAGATGGCATAAGCAGTAAACTATTGTGGGGAGGGCATTCTTTGCTGGAGCTGCCAACCAGCTGTTCAGGAAGCTCCAGTGATGCAGCTTTTGAGTTTTTTGGTCACACCGGGGCAGGCTTTAAGCTGTACAGCTGCCTTGGAGCTACTCATGCATCCGGAAGCAAGCCCGATGAAGTCACTGGTCCAGCAGCAGGTGTCCCTGGAGTCTGTGCCCTATCTGGGATGTTTGTCTCCTCAGGCCACCCAACAGTGGTGCCCAACTGTATAACCCACACAATAGCCATCTGGTGGGCCCAATGGATCTAGGATTGGACAGGTGGCCATGTGGCTCCTACACTCATCATGGGAACTCCGGGTCATGCAGATGATGTAGGCTAAGAGAACGCTGGGAGAGCTTGATATGCTCCTAAGGTGTTCGGAAAAACTCGTTCAGGGTTGGAGATCGCTCTGTGACTAAGAGCACTTGTCGTTCTGGGGGAATGGAGTTCAGACCCAGCACCCATATCAGACAACTGACGAGTACCTGCAACTCCAGCCTCAAGAGACCTAACACCCTCTTCTGGCCCCTGCAGGCACATACATACAAACACAAACACACAAATTAATCCTTAAAAATACCTTGAGGGGCTGAGAGACAACTCGGATGTTAAGAGCACTGGCTGCTCTTTCAGAGGTCCTGAGTTCAACTCCCAGAAACCACATGGCAGCTCACAACAATCTATAATGAGATCTGGTACCCTCTTCTGGTCTGCAGGCATACACGCAGACAGAATATTGTATACGTAATAAATAAATCCTTAAAAAATAAAAATAAATCTTGAGCTGGGTGCGGTTGTACACTAATCCCAGCACTTGGGGAGGCGGATGCAGGGACACCTCTTGTGAGGTCACCCTGGTCCACACAGCATGTTCCAGGTCAGCCAAGGCTAAACATGAGACCTGAGAGACACTGTCTCAAACAAATCCTAGCCCTGTCTCAATGCTAGCCAGTCAGAGACTTCTATTGTTCTGATATTGAACCAAAGACCATATTCTGTTGAAATTCCACCCTCCAGAAGCAAGAGGGAGCAAGGTAAAAACAGCCACTGCATACTCAAGGATGACCTAGGAAGGGGTTCTCATGTTCCCTGGTGTGAGAAGCTTCACTGTCAAGACTGAGTCCCAAAGACCCTCCAATGACACTGCAATGAGGAGCTGGGATGCTCTCCATTGCTATAGTCGAGGAGCAGGCAAGGCCCCTAAGACCCAGTCTTGTCAGGTTGCCATCATGAATATGGCCCTGTATGTACCAGATGGCATGTCTGAAGGGTACCAAGTTTCTCCCAGCAGGAATCTTGTAAGAGTCAGAAAACCGTGGTTATGAAGGCAGGGCCAGGCAATAGGCCCTCTGAACACAGCAATGGAGAAACTGACCCAGGTTTGGGTATGGAGCCACTTAGTGTGACCAAGAGGACATGGAAGGATCGTTCTTCTAGGAAGCGTACAGGATGAGTTCAACAGGGGAGACTGAACAGGTGTCACCTTTAGCAGCAATGAAGATAGGAAGGACAAGCGCCTGTCAACAGCACAGCTGCCCCACTCCTGAGCCAAAATACAGTCTTGTGTTGTATGTGCTTCAGGGCAATGCCCAAGATCTTGAAGATATGCAAGAAAGGGAAAATGAAAATGTGCTGGGCATCACTAAGACAGTACAAGGGGGCTGGAGAGACGGCTCAGCAGCTAAGAGCACTCACTGCTCTTCTAAGGAACCAAGTTCATCTCTCCCAGCACCCACACCACAGCTCACAACCACTTGCAACTAGCTCCAGGGGAACCTGATGCCCTCTGCTGGCCTCTACAGGCACTTGCACACAGACACACGCATATAAATACATAGAAAGTGTTAATGCTTATGTATCTGTATGGAGGTACCTGCACACATGCATGCAGGTACCAGGTGTCAGATCCACTAAAGCTGGAATTACAAGTGGTTGTGAGCCACTCAATATGGGTGCTGGAAACTGAATTCAGGCCCTGTGAAAGATCGAGTGCTCTTAATCATCAGCCATCATTCCAGGCCCTAAACAATTGTTTAAAGACAGTAAAAGACAACTCACTGAACAGGAGGAAAGTTTTTATAAGTAATTTATCTGACAGAGGAACTTATCTACAATGCATAACAAACTCATAAAGCTTCATAATTAAAGGACAGACAACCCAATGGGCAAAGGCTTTGAAGTCTCTTAAGTAGATACACAGAAAACACGAGAAAAGATGTTCCATTTTCAGCCATCAGGGATGGCAACTAAAGGCCAAATGAGGCAAACTCACCCTCACCAGGACAGCTAAGGTAGAGGGCAGACTGTGCTGGCAAGAATGTGTTACAACCCAGCCCTCGCCTGCTGCCGGTGAGGAGAAGATAGTACGGCTCTATTAGAAACAGTTTGGCAAGTCCTCAAAGGGTTTAATATAATTATCACACGACCTGGAAAACAGACTCCAAGGTATATGATAGAGAATTAAAAAAAAAAAAAGACATGTCCACTCAAAGCTTGCACACAAATTTCCATATAGCAGCCGTACTCATAATAGCTAAAAAAGCTGCAACAAGCCAAATGTCCACCAGCTAACAAACTAAACAATACATTCACTGCACACCATGAAATCTTACAATGGAAAGCATCAGGTCAGGTACAAGTTACAATAGGAAAAGCACTGAAAAAAACATTGTCAGTTGTGGGTCGAATAAAATTTTTCTAAAGGAGTCTAGATCACTAAAATTACCCTAATAAAAAAAAACAAAGTGAAAATAAAAAGCTCATTGTAACAATTAATTTCAGAGAAAGTTTCTTACATAGAAACTGAACGCACCACACCAAGGGCATTTCCTTTCATACCTACTTGGATCCCAAAGTGCCCAAGCATCTGCTGATGCTGTCCCTGCTCCCAGCCTGGCCTGCACTACAGTGTGTCTTCTGAGGCCCCACTTGTCAGACAAGCAACGCATATGACCCAATTATAGACAATTAGTGGGTGAGTGGCATGGTTTAAAACTTCAGGCTTATGTAATGAGGGGTGCAGGCTGAAAATGGGATGCCAGGTCCCAGGTCAGTAATGTGTCCCTGATTATGACAGTGCACTGGGAGGACAGTCTCCTTACAATACCCCTGGGGACCAGGTGGCTGGCAATGACTCCATCTACAGGCGTGACTGAGAAAGACAATGTGGAGGCACACACAAAGGAAGCTGGGGTGGAAGCTGGCAGAGGGCAGAACATGAACAAACGGGCTGAAGCCAATGAAGACAAGGGCAGAGAGGGCCAGGATGCTCCCATCCCCGAGGTCGGCAGGCTGCGATCTCCGGCCTGGGGGGGGGAAACAGAGAGAGAGACAGACAGAGACAGAGAGAGACAGAGAGACAGACACACACACACAGAGTGACAGAGGAGAGAGAGACAGAGAGACACACACACAGAGACAGAGAGAGGAGAGACAGACAGACAGACAGAGAGAGACATAGAGAGAGGAGAGAGACAGACAGAGACAGAGAGAGACAGAGAGAGACAGACAGAGACAGAGAGAGGGGGAGACAGAGACAAAGAGAGACATACACACAGAGAGGAGAGAGAGGAGAGGGAGGGAGGGGGAGAGGAAGGGGGAGAGAGAAAGAGAGGGGGAGAGAGAGCGTGCGAGCGCACAAAACCAGGTTTCTTTTTTTAAGTGTTCTAGAAGCTTTGGGCAGTTTCAAGGACACTCTCCAAGTGTAAACGCCCAATCAGGGTCAGCCCGTGGCACTCAGCATGAGGAGCCGAGCCCGGGCTCCTGTCCAGCCAGCACCAGCCGTCTCCTCACTGCACTGTCGCTTCGGCCTCTACGCCACTGACTTGAAACTGGTCAACCTCTAGCCACTGCCAAAAGCCTTAGAGCTGCCTTTCCTGTGACATTCACTAACTCCTGAGCTGTACTCCAGAGTATCCCACACCCTACAAAGTTCTGACAGAGCAGGCCAGGGCTTCCTTGTCCTAACCATCTCAGTCAGTGTTGGACAAACAGGGAACTCCTGGGCCTCAGACCAACTGCCAATAGCCATGCCATCCGGTTAGGCTGCCCAATGCCTCGCTTGTCCTACAGGGGGGAGGAAAGCCTGGGTGAAGGCTTTACCCACATAACTAATCCTGGGGCTTCCTGTGTGGCCTGACAAGGATCTCTGCCTGGGAACTATAAATGACAAACTGACTCAACATCTCTGATAGGCTGGCCTAATCATCTCTAAAAATAGTCACTCCTCTACTTAAAACACCCATTCTACAAGAAAACATCTTCACCAGCAACTCTAGAAGGACAAAGGAAATCAGAAAACCCACATCTCGAAGGTGCTGTGACTCTAAACAGTGCCAGGCTCACCAAGCATCTCCTGGATGGCTCTTAACTTTGGGGGGCAGAAAAGGAACCAAAAATAAAGACAGAGGCATAAAAGGATGTGGAGTTACAGAAAAGACAAGACAGGATACAGGATGCTATGTGAGTGTCAGTAGTGGGCTACCAAAAGACGTTGGGACAAAACAGGTCCCCAGCCCAGTGTCCAGCAGACTCTGGCAGCTCAGATGTCCAGCTCTTCCTTGATGGAGACACGCAGATGGCAGATACGCAGAGGCTCCGGGGGACCGTCACCCCGCGAGGCCCCCAGATAGAAGTAGGGCCTCACTTCCCCAAAGTGGGCATGGAAGGTATACAGGTGGCAGTGGCGCTCAGAGTCATAGAAGGACAGCTCACCCTCCTCACACTCCAGCTCCACACGCAGGCGGCGTGGCATGGCCTGGACCAGCGGGGCTGTGGCCGTGTCTGAAGTCATGCAGTGGTCCCCGTCCACACCCTGCGTGCGGCATAGGTACCAGAAGCCCGAACGAGTGTCGTGGTAGCAGCTATGTGAGTGGCCTTCGCCACCTACATCAGCCTGAGCCTGTGCCTGCGCGTGTGCCTGCACCCTCACCACACCCACTCGCCAGCTTGGCAGGCCGCCCACATCCACCTCCCAAGAGTGGGAGCCCTTCGAGAAAACCTGAGAACCCAGCAGGCAGGGTGCCGAGGAGAAGCGCTCTGGGTTCTCCACCTGCACACGGTAGCCATGGTTGATGACACTCGTGAGGTCATCAGCCACTTTGAGCCAGCCAGCAGCTGTATTGGGATCCAAGCTGAAGGGCACTGGAGACAGAGAAAGAAGAGAAAAGTCAGCAAATTGAACACCCTTCTTCCACCAGACTGGCTGAGGTCCCACCTGCCCCAGTGCATGCAGGGAAGTGCCCTGGGCTGCTGGGGTAGTACAGGGCAAACTTCACCCCCATCCCCCCAAAGGAATGTGTAAGCTCCAAGTCCCAGTATCTCAGGATGTTTAGGAATGGATTAGAGATACAGACACTAGGGAAAGAAATGTTATGTGACCAACCAAGGCATTTCTTGGCAATGAGTTTTTAGCCTCCAAAACTGTCAAAATAGACTTTGGTCTTTAAACCAATTTATGGTCCTCTGTCATGACTAACACAGGCAAGTGACTAGAAGTAAGAGGATCAAGCAACATTCCCCTGGGCCACAGCCATTTCTAGGCATGAAACCAGGGCATGCTGGCAGGAAAGAGTCAGAGTGACCTTGGGGGAGGTGTCCTAGACTTTTCTTCCACCATGAATGTTAGTTATGAACATAGAAAGGAGTGCTAGCCTCTCTGAAGTGTGGCAGAGGAAGGAAGACCAGGGCCTTGGGCATGCCTGGAAGGGACTGCAAGGAGAACAGCTGAGAAGCTTAGCCAGCTCTCTGCAGCACAGGATAGTCTCCATTTGGCTGGGGCACCTTGCTGCATGTCCTTACCAGATTCAACAGATCCAAGCATCTTCTTCCAAACACGGTACTGCAGGGAGTCCAGATACTTGCACGCATCCATAAGCAAGCCAGGCTGGAGAGGAGCTGGCTCCACAGTGCAAAAGAGCCTGGCAAAGGAAGGCTGGGCATTGGCTGGAGCTGGGGCCAGGCAGTCTACTACAAACAAGACAACAGGACTGCTTCCCTTGCTCACACCCAAGCTCTGTGGTCATCTGTCCCAAGGCAAACCTGGATTGAGCAAGGAGCCCGCTGGGCTGCTACAAGCCCTTAGCAGGAAGGCTCAAACAGCCAGTGTTGACTGGCCTTCACCGGAAAGCTTGCAGGGACTGGGAAATCATCACAGCCCAGAGTACTCACTCCCATCTTCAGAAGGGACACAACTCTTCCTTATCCATCCTGGGGAGCCCAACCAGCAGCCACCCACAACAGTGTATGCCAAGGCTCTCAGAGAAAGGAAGCCAGCCAAAAACTAGGCCTGCTGATAACTGAGAAACACAAGTCATGTGCTTGGTTCTGCAAATCCCTGTGGAAACTAGCGACCCTCTATGTTCCGAAACAACTCTGTCTCCATGCCAACCAGAACTGGAATGCCTTTAAAGAGCTCCCCTTGGCTGGTCTCTACCATTCCCTCTGGATCCCACCCAGCTGGATACAATAGCTGCCCGGCCCATCAACCATTGGACAGGCAGCTCTTGGCTTTCTGTCTGCCCACCCCCTCTCTCCATCAGGCTCCACAACTTACCGGCGCTTTCGGCTCTTGTGTTTCTGGGGGAGAAAAAGCAAAGACACAGAATAAGAAAATGCAGGAAATTTCTGAAGAGTTGCCAAGTGCCCAAACTCACACTTATGGATGAACAGATCTGGCTTAATTCAATGTCACACACCCCATGCAGACCTCATCTCAGATTCGATTTCACCCCTTGGAAGTCCCACGTGCCAGGATGAGGATGCAGCAGAGGGAGACCCTGCTCACTGTACATGAGGCCCAGGGCCAAACTTAGAGCTGATCCCAAAATTCACATGGAGTTTTAGCAAGTGCGGAATAGCAACTTGAAAAACAACCAAATTGGAGGACTCATCCCCACTCTCAAACTTGCTACACAAGCCACTGTGATGAAAGTGGTGGACTAACAGGGACAGAACGGACAGTCTACATACAAAGTCTCTCACTATGTCTGAGTTTCTACAGCGAACCAAGGTCATTTGATAGAGCTGTCTTCTCTGCAATGATGTGGGTACTACCAAACAGCAACAGACTCTGCCTTGTTGTCAGATTTTTAAAACAATTATCTTAAAATACGACTAAGATCTAAATATAGATAGAGCTAAGACTGAGAAAAGACACACTGGAGCATAAAAGAAACTCTCACAGCTAACAATGAAAAACCAAAGACAACCCTACAGAAACTGTAGAGCTGAGCATGGTGGACACACCTTTAGTCCCAGCACTCAGGAGGCAGAGGCAGGTGGATCTGAGTTAGAGGCCAACCTGGTCTACAGAGCAACTTCCAGGACAGCTACAACTACACAGAGGAACCCTGGGAAAATAAAAATAAGGGAGGGAGGGAAGAAGGAAGGGAAGGGAGGGAAGGGAGGGGAGGGAAAGGAAGGAAGGGAAGGAAGGAAACTGTAATGAAATTAAACAAGCATCTTAAGGAAGGGCTACCAATGACCAAGAGGCAGGTGAGTGAGAAGATGCCTGTTGTCATTAGTTATCTGGAGAATGCTCATTGCAAGCACAATGAGACAATACCTCATTCATAAGGAAGGCTATGGAAAGGAAGAAAGGGGCTAAGAGGTATAGAAACTTGACTCTTATACTCAGCTGATGGGAACACAAAATAGTATGACTACTTTGGAAAACTGCCTAGCAGCCCTTACATGGGTTAATTAGAATTATCAAATACCCATAAATCTGCTCTTGGGTACACACCCAGAAGTAAAAACATGCCCACACACATACATATTTGGAGTCCCATTCCTCATAAAAGCCAAAAGAAGTAACTCAAATGAGTTATCAATGGATGAATAGCAGGTAAAACACAGTGTACAAGGGAAATCATTTGTTCATCAAAAGGAAGAAAGTCCTGGTGGATGCATGAAGCTTCAAAACACACTTTTGTGACAGATGTACACAGGCATGTTTGTGTATATGAATTCCATTTATGTGAATACCCAGAACAGGCAAATCCATATAGAAAGACCAGTGGATTCCAGGGTCTGTGGGGCAGCTGAAGAACATGTCCTACTTGGGCATGACAAAATGTTCTAAAATAGACTGTCATAATGGCTACATTACTATGTAATCATTAAATCAGGTATATAAGCATATACCTCAGCTCCTGGCACTCTGGAGGCTGAGGGTCCTAGTATCACTTGACATAAGGAATTTAAAGCCAGCCTTGGCAACATAACAAGATCCTGTCTTAAAACAAATTAAAAAGTAAAAAAAGAAGCCAGGTGTGGTATCCCACAACTTTAATCCCAGCACACAGGAGGTAGGGGCAGAGGAACAGGTAGGCCAGCATGGTCTTTATAGCAAGCTCTTGGCCAGCTAGCTCTACATGGTGAGAATTCCTTCCTTCCTTCCTTCCTTCCTTCCTTCCGCCTCCCTCGTTCCCATGGTCACAAATCAAGTCACTTCTTATAGAGGTCTTTGTGCTCATAGATAAGCACTAGGGGAATCTGGAATGTTAAACATGCAGGGTTGTTCTTCAACCTTCTGTGGACGAGGCTAATAGCTAGGAGACTTTTGCACTACCTGTGTGATGGGAAATCACACCAGATGCTTATCCGCTTGTTTTCTCAGTCAACAGAATCATCTTTACAGGGAGGTGTCACATGTAGTCAATCTATAGAACCGTCTTTATGAAAGGTGTCACGTGTACTTTACAAAGAACTTGAATATAGTCACATTTGATTGTTGTTTAGCTTACTTCATCCTTTATTGTGTACACAGGATAAAGTTAATTATCACCAGGAAAGTTTCGAATTGTGTTATGTTTAAATATGCCTAAAATAGTTGGGGTCAGACTCCCAAGGTTTGAATCAACATCAGCTTATGGAACTATGTTCTTGCCTCCCACAACTACTCTGTTGGTTTGGTATTTGCAGAGACCCCCCCGCCCCCGCAACACACACACACACACACACACACACACACACACACACACACACACACACACACACACACAACTTCTACACCAAAACCACTCCTTCTGGAAACAGTGAGTACAGGGCAAGGTGACGACACATCCAATTTCCCAAGAAAGGTCAGTAAGGAACACAGCTTTGCTAACTATCAAGTAATTCCTGTTCTCTCCCAGGAGCATTCTGGGTACAGAGACGTGACTTACTGGGCTGGAAGCACAGAGACCACCCTGTCGCTAGTACTGGTTTATAAAGTAGCTTTCAAGTCACAGAAACTTCTCTGCAAGGAAGGACAAAACCAATAAAAGAAATAAAATGATTTTGGGTGTTTCTTGTTTTGTTTGAGACAGGGCTTCTCTGTGTAGCCTTGAAGCCTATCCTGGAATGGAACTCACTCTATAGGCTGGCCTCGAACTCAAAGACATTTGCCTGCTTCCGCCTCTCTAGTGCTGGGATTAAAGGTGTGTACCACCACCACCACCTGGCAAAAATGTTTTCAAAGGAAGAGAGAGAGAGAGAGAGAGAGAGAGAGAGAGAGAGAGAGAGAGAGAGAGAGAGAGAGAGAGAGTGTGTGTATATGTGTGTGTGTGTATCAGACACGGGTCAACCTCAGCTCATTTCACAGGTGCTATCTGCCTTGTTCTTGACATGATGTCTTTTACTGCCCTGGACCTCACCAAGCAGTCTAGGCTGGCTGCCCACAGAGCCTCAGGCATCCACCTGCCTCTACCTCCCCATCACTGGAATCCCCAGTGAGCTACCATGCTCAGCTGATTTTATTTGGTTCCAGGGGTCAACTTGGGTCCTCAGCCTGGAAACACTCTTTAACAACAGAGAAAGAAGGCAGAGGGAGATCTTGTCCCCATCCCGCTCCCCTCCCCCCAAAAAAAGAAACAGAGAAAGAGAAAGGGCTGAGCATGTGCCTCAGTAAGAGTACCTGTCATGCACAAAACCTAGGCTATGGAGCCATCACTGCAAAGGGATGGAAGGAGGTGGGGGTAGGAAAAGACAGGGGAGAAAAGAAAGAATACTAAGATAAACATAATCAGGGTCAGCTAAATGGCTCAGCAGGGCAAGGAGCTTGCTGCCAAGCATAAGGACTTATTTGATCTCTGGGACCCACAGTTAAAGAAGACTGACTGCCTAAGCAGCTCTCTGACTTTCCTACAGGCACTTTGCAATGTGTACCTATTGTGGCAGTTTGAATGACCCATAGGGAGTGGCACTATTAGAAGTGGCCTTGTTGGGCCTTTGAGGCCCTCCTGTGGTGTCAGATACTCAAATCCAGTCCAGTGGCTCACTTGCTCTTCCCACTCCTTTCTTCCTGCAGCTACTTCTCCAGCACCATGTCTGCGGCCATGCTTCCTGCCATTCTGACAATGAACCAAACCTCTAAAACTGTAAGCCAGCCCCAATTAAATATTTCCCTTCATAAGAGTTGCTGTGGTCATGGTGTCTCTTCACAGCAATAGAAACCCTAAGACACGTATCTACAATAAAAAAAATGTAACAAATGTTTTAAAATTTAAATTATGACACAATTTAAAACCCTATTTCATTTAGGGGGAGAGAGAAAGAAACCACCAGTCAACAAAAACGAAGCAAGATTTAGTAAAGAGTGGTGGCGGTAGAGGTGGCGGGAGGATATTTGGAGCTGCTGGCCGCTGAGCCTGGTCCTACCCTCAGTTCAGATCCCGAGCCTCTTACCATGAGGAAGGTCATGTCATCTTCCTTCATCTCCATCTGCAGACGCTCAATCTCTCGGGCCAGTGCCTCCGTCTGTTCTGCCAGCTGTTTCATCTTCTCCTCGGCCAGCAGGTGCTTCTTTCTGCTCTCTTCCTTCATGGCATCCAAGGTGGCCTGTTCCTCCACCCTCAGGAAATCTCGGAGCTTGTCAAACTCATCCCGGATGCGGCCTTCCAGCCAAGTCGTCTGCACCTGCAGCAGGGCAGGAAGAAGCCCTCAAGTTCAGGAGCCAGGGCTTGCGCTGCCCCTGGCTGGTGACTACTTTGAGCAAAGCCACTCAAGCTCTAGGTGTGACATGAGGACCCCTAGAGATAAAGACCAGCATACCTCTGTAGCTCCAGAGTTAGAGGAGGACATGAACAGCTGTTTGGTATAAGTAATTATTTTAATGACACCCACATGGAAGGACTGAGGACAAACGACACAGACCCTGAGAGCAAAAGCAAAGAAACACCTGCCAGTGGAATGAGGAAATGACCACGTAACACATCAACCCAAAGGCTCACAGAAAGAATATGATTGTGTAAAACATCACTTTGTTTTTGAGGCTCACAACGTAGAACAGGCTGTCCTTGAACTTACAGACATCCACCTGCCTCTGCCTCCTCAGTGCTGGGATTAAACATCTCATCTGAGGAAGTGCCTAGATCAGATGGGTTTGTGGGCACATCTATGGGCGTCTCTAGGCTGTTAATAATGTAGGAGGACCCATCCCACTATGAGTTAAATCTCCCTAAGCAGGTAGTCCTGAACTCTATAAGAACGGTAGCTTTAAGCTGGTCTGTTAAGTAAGCAAACAGCATCCTCCACAGTTCCCGCAGTACTTCCTCGGTACAGGGCAAGAAAGTCTTGAGGCCAGCAGAATCAGGGGGAAGGGCCACCAGTGGGCAGTCTAAGTACAAGAATAGCATAGCAGAAATGGTTTACCGTTCTGCTTAGAGAGCTAAGGCAGGTGAGAAGGCCAGGTGAGTCACAGCTGTGGGGTGGGGGAGTTTGACAGGCATAGTGCATTCTGAAGATGGGACAGCATAGCTGGTAAGTACATACAGGACTGGAAGGTATATCATATGATCTCTAAAGAATCCCAGGCCACCACTGGCTTGACTATGAGCTAGTGATATGTGACACCTATAGGAGTTATCTTTAACTCACAGTGAAGATGGCTTTTTGATGCAATTCTGTGGCTGCTGGCCTGACACGCCCTCGGTCAGTGTCAGAGTAGCCCCACTGGATATGGCATGAAGCCTCAGTGGAGGCCAATTCTGCATCAGCAAAGCCGGGGACTCATCTTCCCTCACCTCTCAATACTCCGAATGTTCCCTCCTGCATGGGCACTCACTCACCTCATTGTGCTTGGCAATGGCCTCATAGGTACGACGCAGGGCCCAAAAGGCCTTGGCTTTCTCTCGAAGCACGTGCTCCATGTTCTTACACTTGGCCTAATGTGGGGAAAACAGAGACACATTAGCACTAGAAGCCAGGCCGGGGAACTAACACACCTGTTCACAGCTGGAGTTCCGCTGCGAGTCCAACCACAAGCCAGAGAAGTCAATCTGCTCCAAAAGCTGTAGGCACAGCTGGAAGCTGTGTACAGCTCCAACCCTGAACTGCATGTGTCCCTCAGACCTCTAACCCAGCACCAAAGACCAATGGTGCAGACGGAAAGCAAGGCTCGGGGGTTCTGGTCAGCCAGCTCCAGCCTATGGCTGCTCCTAGAACCCCAGAACTGTGGAGATACCATCAAGACGGCTTGGTCACTGACTCTTTCTGGACTTATCTACAGCAAGTCTCAACAAGGTTGACAATATAAACAGTTCCAGTCACTTCTTCAAGAGGCAAAACACTCAAATGAGATCTCCCCTAAACACGCCTCCATACACCTTTCCTTTAATGGTGCTGGGACCACAGGAAATACCTTCATCAGCAAACTCATGCATTTTTCTGTTTCATTATCTGAGACAAGGCCTTACTCTAGAGCACAGGTTGGCTCACTATGTAGCCAAACTGTTCTCAAACTCATGGTGATCCTTCTGCCAAATGGTGAGATCATAGGCACAAGCAATCACACCCAACTAGTGCTTTGTACTTAACACATTTTAGGGTTGGAGAGATGGCTCAGAGGTTAAGAGCACTGGTTGCTCTTCCAGAGGTCCTGAGTTCAATTCCCAGCAACCACATAGGTGGCTCCCAACCATCTATAATGAGATCAAGTGGCCCTTTCTTGTGTGCAGGCTTACATGCAAGCAAAGCACTGTATACAAAATAAATTTTTAAAAAATCTTAAAATATATGGCATGCATGTGTCCACATGGTCTTGAAGGCTGAAGGGGTATGCTAGGTAGGTGTCCCACTCAATCACTCCCCACCATAATCTGTCATTTTTCTTGTTTTTGAGGTTGTAAAATTAACATCATTTCTCCCTTCTCTTTCCTCTCTGAACCCTCATTTGCTTTCAATTTCATAGCTTTTTAAAATTTTCATCACATGAGTATATATTCCTAAATACAATCTGCCCAGTCGGTAATATTGCTTGTGTATGTGTTTTTCATTGCAGAACATTTGGTATGGTGTGCTCTTCCCTAGGGAAGACTATGTCTTCCCCCTGTTTATGTTGCCTGTAGTTCTTTGTGTAGGGTTGAGGCTTAGTGGTCTTTCCCCCATCCATTTTGGAATGTCCATTGGTGTGAACACATGTGCTTGCTCAGCTCATGTTTAGGCAGTCATGTTGGTGAGACTTTATGGGTGTTGCTTCTGACATTACCAGGAGACACAGAAAACACCCTGATCACCTGGCTCTTCCTCAACGTCCCCTGAGCCTTGGTCCACCATAATCTTGAGATAAAGTCTCTCATTGAATCTAGAGCTAGGCCAATGTCCAGTGTCTTCAGCTTCCCCCACCCCCAACAGAGTAATCAGGTAATCATGTGATCATCATACTTTCATGTGGGTTCTGGGAATATGAACTTGAGCCAAGCACTCAGCAAGTACCCACTAACCCATCTCTCTAGCATCCTGCTTAATATTGAAAAATAAAACCACACACCAGTTTAAGGAAGGCACTTAACATTTACCTAATACCAACGCTTTCTCTTTAAAGATGTTTACTTTACAACTGTGGGTGTTTTGCCTGCATGTATGTCTGTGAATCACATGCGTGCCTGGTACCCAGAGGTCAGAGAGGATGTTAGATCCCTTGGAACTGGAGTTACAGACTGCTGTGAGATACCATGTAGGTGCTGGGAACCAAAACTCAGGCCCTCTGCAAGAGCAGCCAGTGGAACTGGAGTTAAAGACTGATCTGCCCCACGGCAGTAATAAAAAAGCTAATACATTGGCCTTTATTACTTCTACATGGCCGTGGCTCACATCTGTAATGAAAGCACTAGATCCCTGGAGTTCAAGAGCCTACACATGTAGCCGAATCAATGAGCTCCAGAACCAGTGAAAGGCCTGGTCTTAAAATGTAAAGGTAGAGAGAGATCAAGGAAAAGTTGTAACCTACCCCGCTCTGGCCACACACACACAAAAGAAAAGAGTACTCTATTCAAACCTGAGGACACTGTACCTGAGGACTTTCTAAGGTCCCCCTGAGCACTCGGGTTTTCTTGAGCTCTGACTACCAGCTATGACATGTTCTAAAATCTTGCCAACCCTTCTATCAGGTCCCACTGTGTTAGGACAAAATCCCAGCTCATTAACATCCCCCTCAGCGTCTTATGAATTGATCTGCCCAGCAGCAGTAATAAAAACACCAACACACACTGCCTTTATTACTCCTCCAGGGCTGTGGCCCACAAACAGAACAGAACAAGCAAAGACAAGAATCCTTCGTTTTGCGCAGTTTCAGAAGTGTTGGTTAGGTCCATCACAGGTGTGGAGGGTGACAGAGCAGAGAAAATGGATACAAGACACAGCTTTCCCAGGGACACCTCCCACAAACTGCCTTCCTCCAGCTGGGCCTCCTCCTAACTGACCACCCACCAAATGGGGCCATCAAATGATGAGCCTGTGAAAGGACTCGCTCACTAACAGGACTCGTTCTTGGAACACCTTCAGACACTCAAGGAGTTGTACTTTACTGTCACAGTCAAGATTAACCATCACACGGCTTCAGGGTTTCTGTGGACGTTAAGTTTTGTTAATACTTAAGAGGATCTAACAAAGTAAGAAAGTCCTCAAAGATTATTGCTGCTGGATTATCACATGGTAGCCAAAGGGATCTTTCTTCTAAGCACCCACCTCTGGGGGTTCCTGAGGGTACCCAGCAGGGCCATGCTTAGTCTAGCAGTCTCCCGACTCTTACCCTGTGGTGGGTCTTCCCATGCTGCTTGCTCCCTCAATCCACACTCATACCCAACCACACAGAACCATGCTCATCTACCAGCTGCCTCACCCACTCCTCTGAAATGTCAACTTCCAGAAACAGAGTGTTCTAGTTTGTTTTCTGTTGCCATGACGAGCAAAAGTAACAGGGAAGAGTTTATTCCAGTTTATACTTCCAGATCATACTCCATCACCACGAGATGTGAGGGCAGGAAATCAAGCAAAAATTAATGCAGAAATTGTGGAAATCATGCAAGTATGCTACTTTCTGAGTCACTCCAGGCCTCGTGCTGTTCAGTTTGCTTTCTTATACTACCTAGGCTCTCCCACACCCATCACCAATCTAGACAATCTCTCAGGCTGGCTGATCCCTCCCTTCTGGGCAATCCCTCAACTGAAATTCCCTCAGATGACCCTAGGCTGTGTCGAGATGAAATTAACTAGGACAGAGAGGTGGCCTTATGGACCTAAGCAGCCATAACACCTAGAACAGAGTGTGGCATACAAAGGGTCTTGGTGTTTATTTCACAAATTAATAAATGAATGAGCTGTAGTGCATCTGTCTGAGCACATAGCTTGTGCTCTCCTGGGGTCTTTCAGACTAGCCCTCTCCCTGCTCTTAGACTCACGTGGAGTACCTACTGGCCCTACATCACCATTCTAAAATGAAGGATAAGACTTGGGCCTCCTGGCTTCACCTGGAGTCTAATGCTCTCTCTCCTAGAACCTTCTACATGCTGTAACATCTGCTTACAAATATCTCCCCTAGCCTCCTTCACCTGGTTAATGCCTCCATATCCTTCAAATATATATTTGTGATAAGCTTCCTGAGAGTGGGAATATTAACACTGATCTCATCTCCTCAGGGTCCCTGAGACCTCCCAGTACAAGAACAAAAGAATGCCTCCAGGCCCATGTCCCTGCCCCTGTCCCCAGGCTCATGAGCCTTCTGTTGAGCCTTGATCCCCACCCATGCTAATCTGTACCTCTGCCAGCCCCAGGGAATTCAAATCAGACCCAAGTCTCCAGACTGCCTCCTTCAGCTATGCCAAAAGGGGATCTAGCATTTCTGCTGGTGGACATGCAAACAAGACTGCTATGGGCCACAGCTGAGCAAATGTGACTGGAGCAACGTGCCTGGGGATGGCATCGGCTTCCACTCTGTATAGAACTGCCATCAACCGTGCTGATTCTCAATAAAGGCATCTCACGAAGCGTGGAAAGGGTGTCTGAAGATCAGGCACGGTGGGCTCCTACAGTGTCCTCTTCACTGCCTTAGGCTTCCTGCCAACTAACCCGGGCCCTCCCAACAGTGGGTCTAACCCATGTGCTAGCCGCTGATGAAACAAACTTAGTTGTTTCAGTCCATCAGTTGCTATAAACAAATAAACGTTAAGACACTGCCAGAGTAATATGGACATTTCAGAAACCCCTTTAAAAACTAAGCTGAAACGTCAGTTATAAGTGCTTTGGAAAGGAATGGGGCGTGCATTTCTAAGCGATTAGGTCAAATGCTTTTGAAAATGTCTGACCTTATTTACTTAAAAAATGTTTTTTCTGTTTTAGAACAAAGACGTCTCACTGAGCGTAGCGTCATGGGCCTGTATCTCGGCCACTCACAAGGCTGAGGCAAGCAGAGAGCAAGTTCAAGGCCAGCCTGGCTAATTTAAGAGCTTGGCTCAAAACCAAAACTAGGCTGGGGGTGCAGCTGCGTGGTAAAGTACTTGCCTGGAATGCATAAGCCCGAGCTTCATCTCCTGCAGCACCGACACCCACCTTTCCCCAAGCTAGTTTTGCTGTCAGCTGCTCTTGGTTTAATTATAGCCACTGGAACTCCAGATATTTGGATGCTAAAACAGTAATCGGAGTTAGGCCAGCGCCACAGGCCTGGGGAAATCTCAAGACCTCAGGACCCGAGCGAGCTAGGGCCTAGCCTCCACTTCTAAACCGATAACACCAAGCCCGAATGTCTGAGGGTGGTACCATTCCGGCATTGTCCAGAGGTGGCTGGACGGGGAACAAGAAGGTGGCTGGGCCCGGGGAGGGGGGAGGGGAGGGACAGAGGGACAGTCCCGGGGTCCCAGGGTGGGCTGGCGCGATGCTCACCCGAAAGTCCTGGGCAGTGTCCTTGATGGGCTGCACGCGATGCTCCTGGTGCCGGGCGTCGGCCTGGCAGGCGCAGCACAGCAGCTCCTTGTCCTCCAGGCAGAAGAGCGTAAGCGGGGCGCGGTGAGCGCGGCAGGGGCGAGGGGATCGGCGACCGGTCCAGCGCGCGCCCTCGGCCTCCTCCCGCAGCAGGGTCTCCACCAGGTTGTTGAGCGTGTGGTTGGTGCGCAGCTCCCCGGGAGCCGCTCGTTCCTTGCACACCGGGCACGAGGGCGTCGTCTGCACCTCCCAGCAGCTGCTCACACACCGGCGGCAGAAGTTGTGGCCGCAGCGCAGCGTCACCGCGTCGTGGAACGGGTCGTAGCACACAGCGCACAGCAGCTCTTCTTTGAAGGAGCGCGAAGGCCCCGGGGACACGGAGGGGCCCGGCTCCATCGCAGCAGCCGCCGCCGCCGTCGATGTCAGCACCGAAGCCGCCTTCATGCTTAGGCCGCGGGCGTTGTCCCTGCTCCACAAAGCAGACAACGATGGAGGCTCTAATCTACTGCGAATGGGTTTTGAGGGAGCTGCCCCACCCACTTCCTGTCTGTGCGGGGTCTCCCGGAAGAGGTGTGGTCCGCGGTCTGGCCTGGCTCCCGGGCAAACCACGTAGTGCAGCGCCTAACCACACTGCGGGGCTTCCATTGGGGAATGGAAAGTGAAGCCGAGGGTCGCCATCCTTAAATAAATCCCAGAGTCTCAGACTCCCAAAATAGATGGAAGTGGACGTTCGTGTTTTACCTCCTTCCGGGTCCAAAGCAGTGGCTGGGGATGGTTTCTCAAAACGCTCACGTAGGTGGTTCACTGAGTTTGGTCGGGCTTACTGCATTCTCGAGGAAGCGCTGAGACCTGACAAACTGCGATCCCTGGCTTGTAGTTGGATAAATGAGTTCCGTACGTAAGATGGTGGTCTCCATGTAAAGGGCGCGTGACAGGAATAAATGTGGAAGCAGGCTCGTAGCATCAGGCAGACCTCCATTAAAGCCAGGACGAGAAAGTCGTGGTGAACATGCTTTAGTACTCTCAGCACTTGGGAGGCTGGAGCAGGCGGATAAAGAGCTCGAGGACAGTCTGGGTTACGAAGGGAATTTTTTTTTTTTTGGATTTTTGCCAAGAACGGCAGCTGCTTGTTCTCTAAAGCCGTTCCTGCTTCAGTGTGATTTTTTTGTAGCCTTCCGCTATGAACTGTCTATTCGCGGGATGAGCTGCCATTCCCGGCCTCTGAGTATAGACAGTGGTGGCCCCGCCCCATGTTTTGAGAACACAGACCGACAGCCTTTTTTTGACAGTCTTTTCAAGGGCGTTTCTAAACATCCTTGAGTAGCTGTGAGTGGTAGAAACAATGTCATCTCAGACCAAGGTTTGGCTGACTATTGTGAATTTGGGATTTCTCCTGTAGCGCGTTTCACACAGGAAACAGACTCAGGGAGGAATAATGATGGTGTTAATTCTCTGCTAGTGGTTGTGGTCCTTGCCGGGATCCTGGACTCAGTCACATGCAAGTAGGGTAAAGTGTCAGGTCCTTTATAGTCCTTCCTCATATCTTTCCACACTCTGCAATAGTCCTTACCTCCTGGGATTTGTCACCATTAATTTGCACTGTCTTCAGAGGGTGTCTGGTGTGAACCCATAATGTTCTGTAGTCAGCCAGTCACCCAAGAGCTAGTTGAAGTTTGCTCCATTCCTGTTCTGTTTCAGTGCTGGGATGGAACTCCGGGGGTTTAGGGTAGTGCACTTCACCAAAGACTACATTCTCCAGCCCTTGATTTGCGCAAACAAATTCTCATTTTCTATGGAATTTGTAATCCTTCCACCTTAACCTCTGAGTGCTGAGATTATATGTAAGAGTTTTGTTTCCCGGGAGCTTCCTGAATGCTAAGACTCCTGAGCCTATCTCAATCACCACCACCCCACCTACCCCACCCCCTCTCGGGGATGACGGGGACCTACACTTTTATATTCACAGAATGGCTGGTTCTCAAGCACACCTAAGTTTAAGAGCCACTGCTCCATAGCCATTCACCTACCAAGTTGTCAGAGGTTCAAAATTAACTTCAGAAGCAATACTTAAAACACCCAGAAATGTAGAGGCTAGAAAGCCCTGAACAAGCAACTCCCTGGAAAATCTTGTCTCATTTTCTTTCGATGATTTTGTTATTTTATTTATTTTGGGGCCAGGGGGCACACACATGCCACGGCATTTGTGCGAGTTAGGAGGACAGCTTGTGGAAGCTGGTTCTCTCCTTCCACTAGGAGGGCTCCAAGAATCAAACTCAGGTCTTTGGGCTTAGAGGCAAGTGCCTTTACCTGCTAGCCAACTCACTAGCCCTCATTTCTTTTTCTTTCTAATGACCCTAAAGATGCAGATTTTTAAATTTATTTTCTTAAGGCCTATGATGATTTATACATAAATGTAACGGGAAATTTTTTATCTTAATAACGTCAAACAATTTAAAAACTTTTAAAAAATTATTTTACTTCATGTGTATTGGTGTTTTGCTTCCTGTAGATCTGAGCACTGCTCGTGTGTCTCCTGCCCAGACGAGGGCATCAGATCCACTGGAACTAGAGTTACAGATGGTTGTGAGCCGTCATGTGTGTGCTGGGAATCTAACTCAGGTCATCTGGAAGAGCAGCCGGTAAGCAATCGTCTCAGCCCCCAAAACATTACCTGGGAACCAAAGGCAGTGGCCTCTCATCACCCTAGATGAGACTTAAACCCACGATCCCTGGCTTAGGAAGCCAGTGCTTTAACCGTTAGGCCCCGGGCAGAACAGCATTGTCACTCATCAAATTCTCTTCCCCATGAATGCTGGTGTGTGGACCATCTGGTCTTACTCTCTGTGACTTCCCCCACTCTGAGGAGATCCACAAATCAAAACAGAATCCAGAGTAATAATTGGAACTCATGATTTAGGCCTGAATTCACTGTTGACCAGGCTGGCCTGGAACTAGCAGATACCCACCTGTTTCTACCTGCCAAGAGCTGGGATTAAAAGCACCTCCACATCAAATAACACAGGTGACTCCTCTGCAACACAAAGGTGAACATGAAGCCCATGAGGTCTGTAGTCTTTTGTGAACTACAAAGGGGCCTGGTCCATGCTATGGATGAGCTGGGGTGTGATCTGGAACACACCGGTTTACTTTCCTGCCTACTCTTTTTCTCCACTGTATTAGGAAAGGTGGAACTGATTGCTTCAAGTTCCTAGCAGGTCAAACACTCTGGAATTGTCTTATTCTTCGCATAATTTCAGGAAGAGACTGGTTCATATTTAGAGATCAAGAAAAAGAAGTCTTGCTAACTATACACCAATCTGGCACCCTTTTGGCCATTGCCTTTGTTAAAGATGGTGTTATTCGGAGACACTGAGTTTCATGTCCTTCATTCTAGCTAAGCTACTGACATGGTTCCCCTTGCTTCTGTCTTCTCCCAGCACACACATCAAGCCAGACCTGCAGGTTTCCAAACCTCTTGGCATCATGTAAAATATATCTATTTTTTAAATGTTGCACTAGATAAACAATTAGTAGGAGCTGAGACAAGAGCCAGTGTTTGGATCTGTTTCCTATTCTTACTGCTGGAACCCCAGACAAGATGGTTTATAAGGATAGAGGCAGGGAAGTCAAGAGTGGGGTACGAGCCTTCTTGCTGCATCACCATGAGGCAGAAAACATCACATAGCCAGACAGGCAAGTGTGCCAACTCAGGTATGGCTTGTTCTTATAAAGCCACTGATGCTGTCATGAGAGTGTGTGCTGGTTAATTTTGTCAACCTGACACAAGCTGGAGTCATTTAGAAAGAGGGAGCCTGAGTGGGGAAACGGTCTCCATATGACTGTTCTGTGGGCAAGTCTGCGGTTGTATTTTATTGATTGATGATTGATGTGGGAGGGCCTCATTCACTGTGGGCTGTGTCACCTGGGACAGGTGGTCCTGGATCGTATGAGCAAGCAACCTGAGCAAGCCATGAGGAACACACTGGTAAGCAGCACTCCGCCGTGGTGTCTGCTTCAGCTCCTGCCTGGAGTTTTCCTGACTTAGCTTCCCTCAACAGACAGTGACCCCGGATATGTAAGCCAAATACTTTCCTCGCCAGGTTGCTTTTGGTCATGGTCTTTATCACAGGAATAGAAAGTAAACAAGGACAGGGCTCCACCCTCCTGACTTCATGCTTCATTTCAAATAGCAGCATGAATTTAGGGTTTGAGCTTCCAAGGCATGAACTTCTGGGTATCTGCTGAAACCCTAGCAAGAAGGAATGCTGCCAACAAGAAATAAAGGCGAGGATTACTGTACTGCATTAAAAAAAAATCAAGACTTAACTATGTGGTGTACACAAGGAATCATGCAACTGTCTAAGTAGCACAAGTAAACAAAGAGAAAGGGCTAATGTTAATCACTGGTGTGATTCTGTCCCTATCAGAGGATAGAAAGTATTACACCAGAAAAAGGTCAGTTCAGCAGGAGAGTCGCTGATAGCATCTTTAGAGACTGTCAGCCAGAGCTGCAGACCCAGAAGAGCCTGTTCATTAGTTGCCAGGGCAACCTGTAAGGAAAGCACAGTGGCCTGACGCTCTCAGTGAAGACTCTATTGCTTAGACCTTCTCTAAAGCCTAGAAACCTGGAAAAAAATATGAAGGGTGCTTAGTTATTTTAGGTAACTCAGGACGATTGTCCCTAACAAGTAATGTGAACTACAAGTGACTAGGGGTGTGCCAAGGGTAGTAAGCCACCTGCCTGTGGATCAATTGGGCCCCAAACATCTTTGATTCAACCTGTTATGCATATCACTGTGATCTTGTAAACTATAAAAACAGATAAAACCCCAAGATTTGTTAGGAAGTTGTCCTCATACTATCTTTCTAGTCTTTCCCGTGGCTTCAGAGAGTGGCTGTACCAGCACCACTCTTCTTGTCCAGATAGAAAGAACCCAAACACATGCTAAAAAATCCTTAAAATCCTCCAGCAGACTTCCTCAAAGCTTATTGGTCTGTGGGGCATGGTAGTAGCACACACCTTTAATCCCAACACTCAACAGGTAGAGATAGGTAGATCTCTGGGAGTTTGAGACCGGTCAGGACTATATAATGAGGCCTGGTCTCAAAAACAAGCAAACAAAAAACCCTTATTGGTCTAGGTTGGAACTGAGCCCATCAGAACTGACCTGAGTCACATAGTGGGGAATTGTCACCCAGATTTATTTCAGCCTCTGCTTTTCCTACAAAAGAGGGGAAAATCTCAGTACTGGATAGTTAAGTATAGATTCCAGACAACTGTCACCACTTGCAAACTTAGAGATTTCATATAAAATTTAGATTCCTATCTCTGCCTTTTGCATTAAAAGTTTGTAATCGTAGCATAATATACATAATGGAAAATGCATCAATGATTATTGAGGGTACAGCTGGGCAGTGTTTAGTATTTTTCATTGCTGTGCAAGCACTGTGCAGAGCCCATTACCCAGAAAGCTTTTCATCTACACATTAACTAAGTCCCCACATTCTGCTCCCTGGAAACCACCACTGTACTTTTGTCTCTATATACTTGGCCACTCCAGATACCTTTTTGCAAGTGGTTGGATGCACACTGCATTTGCCTTTTTGTGACTGGGATGAAATATCTCATACACACAGATGGTGATAACTAAGTGGGTACCAGGAAGAGCAGCCCCAAGGATGCCTCAAGGTTTATCCCTGCTGTGGTCCATTTCATAACCCCTCCCCTTTTCATATAAAGTCCCTTGCATGTATGAGCCACATTCCGTCTATCTTCTTCTCCATCACTGGAAGCTATGTTTTTTTTTCTACTTACTGGCTGCTCCTATTAATGCTACTGTGAATATGAATGTACAGAGACCTCTTCAAGACACTGTTTTGCATCCCTTTGAGGATGTGCCCTGGAGTGGAATTGCTAGATCATACACATTGCCCCTTATATTTCTGAGTGGCCACCATGTTGTCATGGTGTCTCTTCCCAGCAACAGAAACCCTAACTAAGACAATGACCTACAATAAACTTGGCCTTGAGCTGAGGTGCTGTATGGGCAGACAGCAAGCACAGTACAAAGTGCCCACGTTGTGTGTTCAGAACCAAGGTTGCAGTGGAGTCATGTGATGGAAAACCTGC